ACCACCCTGCACAAAATAAAACACACAAGTGGAAATGCTGTGAAAATCTTTATTAAAAGACTACAGCTCACATTATCATGTTAGTTCATCTTCATGAGGTCTGATTTTGAGTCTAGTACGCACAATACCATCTTTTCTTTGCATTCGCTGTACGTTTAAAACAGCTTCTTTTATATAAATACAAACTACAAACTTGTAAATCATATTGTCAAGTTTTTCCAAGATTTTAAGACAGATAAAATCAATCAGCCTACACAGCTTAAGGCAGAGGTACATGATCCAGAATTTGACAAGGCTTGCTATTATGCCGTAAACTGTTTAAGAGGGACACATCACCTAAAATACATATTAATGCAGATAGACAAGACACACCACTAGCTTTACAAATATGAAAATGATAGTTCATCTCACACGAGAGAACTTAATGTGTGTTCGGATTGCATAGATTAACACTATATGAAATATTTCACAGGCCTAAGATAAAAGGATTAGAAGTCCACTCTTGGTGCAAATTGACAAATTATAACACTGTTTGGTGCTGAACAGCTGTGACCCATTTATTAGGAAAACAAATAGTAAAATAGCAAAATGATGTGAATTAATACAAATATTTGGTAGGTATAAAGTGCAGGCACTTTCAGGTAGTGTCAGGGCTTGTGGCTCCCAGGTACACATTACTATTGACCAAACAGTCAGCCCATCACAGTGATGGGCCAATATGAATTTAGGAAGGGGGGGTCAAGAGAGATCAGGCAAGCTCCACCACCACCTGGAAGTGTCAGGGCTTTGCCTGTTCAGAATGGCACTGTGGCTGAGTTGAATGAGAGCTGCTGCAGGTATGTGTAAGCCCCTCTAGAGGCATCCACACTAAATACCGTTTTTTTTTAAAGTGACAGGGTGACTTTTAGAGTGATAGAGTGAGGATGTCTGTCAGACTGGGCAGTGTGCATTCTTAAACGACTTTCCATCCCAAAATGAATATAAATCTAGATATAAATAAGCGAAAAATGCATGAAAAAAAAATAGAATTTTGTACTCCCCTAAAATAAATTCTAGGAGTCCATTAAGAGACACAGGAAGTCTTAAACCCTTGAGTTATACTGCCTACAGGAGGATTGGACACTGGCAAAAAAAACCCACTAGGCCAGCTGAGGATAACCAGAATGCCTCCGTTTTGTAGCAAAGCAGTAATGAGAACAGGGTGGGATCTGTGTCTCTCAATGGATTCCAGGAAAAGGATTTTACAGCGAGTACACAAATTCTATTTTCTTTCTTATTTATTGAGGGGTACCGGCAAACTTAAACCTTCAAAACATTAACTGAGGGATGGGCAACACAGCAAAGAAGTGCTAACAAGTCCAAGAAAACAACTGAAACTTTGGGACTGCCTGCAATTCAAAGAGCCACCTAAAGCTGGTACCAGATGAGACTGAAACATCCACGTGGTAGAACCTAGAGAACATATAAACGGAAGATCAGGTGTCAGCCTTGATGAAAAGCCCCCCACAGATCTAGTAGAATGTGCCTTGATGGTAAAGGGTGGAACCTGATCCTTAAGATCATAAGCTTGAATGATGGACTGCATGAGTCACCTAGAGAAGGTGGAACAAGCCCACCGGGAAATGGTGAAACGTGAAGCAGGCTGTCCTTTACCGGAAACACAAAAAAAATGATAAAGAGATAGTTTGTCTGAGGGTAGACATAACTGAGAGGTAGAGACAAACAGCTCTGAACACATCCAAGCAATGGAGGGATAGCTCCATAGGATGAACCAGAGAAGGACAGAGATGGAATGGCAACGTCACGGTTATGGTTCTCTGTGCAAACTATTGGCGCTATATAAATCCTGTATAATAATAATAATAATAATAATGGTGGAAAGTACAGCTTAACGTGAGCGTAGAGCGTGATGATGCAAGGATTCTTAGTCTGGTTCAGAGGAGGGGGACAGAGCATCTAGGGACCGGTCTAAGAACAAGCCGTCTCAAATGAAGGGGTGAGAATAACTGTTTCATGAGCACTAGAAACAGCCCCACTGCAAGGGTAAGTCAAATTTTCCCCGGAGTTCTCCTTTAAATCGTGTATTTCTTCCAGGCCTGTGCAGTAATCCAGCATAAAATAACAGCACTTCAATGGATGGAGAGGTTTGTTTTGTAATGAAGAGCAGTCACTGCCGATTTCTTCTCTTGTGCTTGGTGACTGGTCTTGTATCTGCCACTTCTGAAGGCAGCCTGTAGTGGGTGGGACTGCTGGGTCCTTTCCACAGCTCTGATAGGCTTTGCTCACTGCTATGTTTACACATTAATATCTGGGTTCACAAAGAAATTTGCTGCATTTAAAGTGTGGAATGTATCAAACTGGAGCAGCCAAAATCTAGAGCAGCTGTGCAAGGCAAACAATCAGCTTCCCTTTTCAGTTTATTCAGGTAAGATTTGAAAATTAAAGGGAGAAGCCGATTGGTTGCCATGGGCAACTGCTCCAGCTTTTGTCTGCTCCAGTTTTGATAAATTCCCCTCTTTGTGGTTAATAAGAAATACATATAAAAGAAAGTTCTTGTGCCTGAAGTTCAGTATTAATGTGCTGTACACAGAAACTGTATTAACATCCAATGTATGGGGTGTAGTGGACAATAAAAACAGGAGACGGCATGTTCATAGTTTCATTGCTTCGACACAGGATCATTCTACTAATAAATAATCTGTTGATGTCTTATATGCATCCAATGTTTAGAAAAGCTTAAAAGTTAATGGTGATAGTAAAATGGTTGCATTGCTGGAAATCATTCTTTGCCCACTATGGAGCACGGTAGTCATCGTATTATTATATGGAATAGCCATGTAGCTTGAAACATGTAAGAGGACATTGTAGCAAAGTTACACAAGAAAAATGTTTCTCCAAAAGAAGTAAACTAAAAACACTAACATGGATATGAAAAAAACAAATATCCGGCTGTGAGAGATCAGTGCTCTGGCAGTGTGTGCCTTTCTATCTGATGAACCAGCAAACAATAATGTTATCATCCTCATCACATATTTTCCTTCACCAGTCAGAAATGTTAATATATTAAGATCCACCAAAAGCATGAAAACTTAAGAGTGGGTTTTTTCCAACTAATATTTATAGGCAGCTCTGTTATTTATTTCAATTACAGAAATACAGACAATACAACAGATCATTTTTAATACAAATGTTCTTCATTGGCAGCTTTTTTGTTCATGAACTAAAGAATCGTGCCTGGGTCCCTTCCTTTAACACGTGTGTTGTCTAATAGACCAGGCGATTTATCAGATCCAACACTCCTGCGCTGAGATCCTCCACTTTTCTAGGACAGACCTTATCCTTCCTAGTATGGCTATATCTGTAGTAGGAAGTAATTCCAGAAAGCAGCAGAAGTTGTGGCTCTATGAGAGAGTAGGGGCTCTACAACCTTTAGTTGGTGGGTCTCTTAGGGAACAACTGGTGTGAAGAATTACCAGGATGGTTATCACAGTAGACTACTCCATAAAAGCAGTGCTGGCCTTTACTCTGTTTGAACAGAAGACTTATAGGTATACATTGATGTTAATTTTAAACAGATCAATTAATAAACAAGGAAAATGTGATCTTATTACCTATGGGTGGCCATCATTAAAGTGTTGGCTGTATTACAATACACTTATAAGGCCAAAGATCTGCAGTCAACTTACCATCACACCTATTAGCCAAATGTGTGTAGGCACCCCAACAAATTATTAGGTTTAGGCGTGTCCAGTGAAGGCTGCTGTATATAAAACCAATGTAGACAGCTGTGCACTTCCAACTTTGTGGTAAGTCTGGGGAAATCTCTTTTCTATTCCAAAATGACTGTACTCCTGTGCACAAAGCCAGGCCAATCAGGACATTGTATAATTAGTTGGTGTGAAGGAACTAGAGTGGCCTGCACAGAATCCCGACCTCAACCCTACTGAACACCTTTAGGATAATGTGGAATGCCAATTGCAGACATACTCCAAAAGCTTGTGAAAAGCCTTCCCAGAGGAGTGGAGGCGCTTATAGCCACGTTGTGGGGGGCAACTATATTAATGCCCATGAATGAGATGTTCAACGAGCCTATATAGGTATGATGGTCAGGTGTCTGCATAATTTCAGGGTATGTAGTTTGTATGTCCCTTCAGACTGGCATGTTTTAGCCATATATGCAATTCACATGCATTGCTTCTATCCACAGTGCAGGCTAAATGGCAGCAGTTATTCTGCGTTAGTAATAAATGCTTATTGCTGTATGGTCTGCCATTTTGTTTTCTTGCAATAGGCCATCAGTCTGAAACAGTTGACACAGCTAACTGAAATAGCTGGTGATTGGTAAAGGAAAGTGTGGCAGATTTATATGAATACAGACAATAACCAAATGAGGTTTTGAATTCTCAAAAGAAGACAAACTACAGTAAACTCTCAGTTATCCGGTATTCAACTAACCAGAACTCTCATCTAACCAGAAAAAAAATCCCCTGTGTACTCCCTGTTTTGCTGATCTGCGGCATGTATTATCCTGGAAATGACTGTGTGTCTATTTGTCCTAATTTGCTTTTTATTACTGCATTTCAATATTAATATGAGGTCAATACAGAGTTTATGTTATGATATGGTATAGTATGGGGTATGGCATTAGTTAGACCGATTTTTAATAGTAACTCTCAAGCAACCAGAAACTATATTTATCCGGAATCTACCAATCCCTGTGAATGCCGGATAACGGGGAGTTTACTGTATATAGTATAACAACCATGATATACATATTTTGATTTAAATAAGGTAAACGCAGAAAAACAATCATGATTTATACAACTGACATAGCATTCTCTGTGCAAAATTGCACATACTTTTTACATGTTCACACAGTAAACCATAGAAACACACTGGCTCTGATGGCTACTTGCCATGCCCAGATTCATTTCAATCCCTTAACTATTAACAGAGGAAGAAGCTTGATCTTCGGCAAGCATTATTTGATGGATGCTTACCGTCTGCCCGCATTCAAGGAACTTCAGGCCCAAAGCAACCAAGCATTGCCATGTCTGTATGAAAGAAAAAAAACACGGAGTGGTAAGTACACAACATGCACCAAATTCTGTAAAACCAACACGTAACTACACTTTGCTTCACTGACACAATATGGCAGGCAATAGGTTCATAAAATTAGAATACAATACAGATCAGACAGCATATAGTCAAAGCCTGACACTATATTAAAGCCTATCAATGTCGGGGTCATTTATAACAATAGAAAACAAAAGGGAACAGAGCGCCACCTCCATGTGTAAAATCGTTTATTACAATAAATAAAACAAGGGATAAAAGTACTCACAAGCATACATTTTCATCCGGCTTTAAAAACAAACAAGAGGCCACACTGTCTGTTAACCCAACATGGTATCACCCCGAATATGCAACACGGTAGCCTCCAGTCACATCACCGTCCACCGACCGCAGTCAGCCAAGATTGACGCGTTTCAGGGTCAAGCCCCCTTTATCAGAATCATTCCCGGCGTCAATCTTGGCTGACTGCGGTCGGTGGACGGTGATGTGACCGGAGGCTACCGTGTTACATAGTCGGGGCGATACCATGTTGGGTTAACAGACAGTGTGGCCTCTTGTTTGTTGCTAAAGCCTGATCAACTGAATGATTAACTGAAAACTTTGAGTATGCAACAGCAAGTGGATTGTTCAGCTGGCAGCCATTAGCGCCAAGAGTTAAAGAAAACGTTTTGTCATTCAAAACAATGTAGCCACCTAACAGTCTTTCAATTTTCATTTTAGGAATCCTTTCCCACTCTTCCTTGGCAATTGCTTCTTGTTCAGAAATATTCTTAGGTTGTTTTCCATACATCATGTATGATGGAGGTCTGTGAAGGACATTCCAAAACCTTAAAGACCCATTAGCACCTTCTTGACTCATTGCGGTGGTTTAATGCATATTATGTTGTGATAAGTCACACCATTCATTTGACAGAAAAGTAGAATCTGGTGCTCCAGAACAGGGAAGCAGCACCCCTAGGGGAAGACTGTCATCTGAAAGGATAATGGACATTAAAGTGGACAAAAATCCAGCAACTATTATAAGGAAAAAACAGGAGTTGAGGGAAATCTAGTGATCACCAAGAAAAAACAAGATTTTTTTGTAATGTAAAGTCTGAAGCCTAGAATACCTAACCCTGGACCTAAGGGAAGGATAGTCAGACAAAGTATGTCTTGATCAACCAGTGAACAGCTGCGGACTGAAGCAGAATACCCTTAACCCATGAATGTGGGAGAAAGGAGATCCAAAATAAAGCAGCCCTTCCTAAAGTACTCTAATGGGAGAGAGGGGGGAAAACCTTCAATGTGAAGCGAAGAAGAGTGGAGTACCAAGTGTCTTTTATGAAAGAGGAGATTCAAAATCCGATATAAAAAAGAAGGCTAACTATTCACAAAAGGGTGAAGAGTTTGGAGAAGGCAGGCAAAGTGAACAATCTAGGACAACATAGCTGAACTGGAAACTTTCAACCTCACTATGGAAAGTGAGCTGAATTGGAGAATTTTCCCAAATGAGCTATGTTGTCCTAGATTGTTCACTTCTCCCTTCTCCAAACTATTCACCCTTTTGTGAATAACCCTGTAAGTGATACACAGTAACGCAATAGAAAAATAGGGAACACAGAATAAAGGTATGAGGTGACTTTACAACACATCAACAGCTGACACCAAACAGTCACAATACAGATGGTCAGCTAGGGGAACTCTGTATTGAGGTAATAGAGGTGCTGTGCCTTTCATCTTCCAGGAACTACAGAACAAAATGAATAATTCCTTATGAGGAAATAACATCAGTTGTAAATAAGTTGTATTATAGAACAAAACTCTCACAGTTAGGAGGGAAGTTCAGGTGCAGAGTTTTGTGCCCTGCATGTTATATAGTATACATTATGATACACCAATCGCTGTTCAGCAGAAGGAAACAGACATCTGCAGTGAAGGTGAAGGGTGTCAAAGTAAAGACTGACTCAAATGTCCAAACAGAAAAGGTTCCTTGATAAAGGGGAGGAGAAGGATCAAGGACTACCAGTTGTGCACAGTTCAGAATCCTGAGTGCGCAACTCAGGATAAGAAGCAACAAGTACTCAGGAACAGTGCAAAGGGATATATGTTAACAAAGTTTCCATACATCCTACAACCTAGAGGGTGAATGGGATAGTGTTTGTTATATAGAAGAGTAGAGATGAAACTCAGTGTAACAGGAAACATCCAGAAACTAGGACACTAAACCATTTCCGTGAAAATCTATTAAGCATTCCACAATGGGGAGCTGGACGCACCAGTGAGTACATAATATCCAGTGCTATAAGAGAGACCCGAATCCTTGGGAAGTTCAGAATTCAGGTGTTGTCTCGCAACCATGTAGGTTGAGAAGTCCCTCCTAAGAGAGACAGATCTTAGGAGATATAAACACCACTAGAGTGAAATAGACTTTATAGTCAGACAAGGTGGAGAATACCCCAAGACAGGCTGTATAGAAAGACAAAGTCCCAGGGTGAGGCGGGCATACATAATTTAGCATTACATTCATTGGGGTACTGAAATACAGAAAATCCAAAGATCAGATACCTGGTACAGGTCTCAGAGTAAAAGCATAACATGACCATTAAAACTAAGGTGTAAGGTTCCAAAAGAACTCAGGAAATACCCTCACTTTTGCCAAGTGGGTTGGTTAAGTTTTAAGCAGAAATTTTATAGCTACAATATTGGAGTGCCAATGTGTTAAAGATTTTAATCCGCAACCAGGTAATGTAGCTGCACCCGCTGTGAGCAGAGACCCTTCTGTCATTAACAGATCTCCTACAATGAAGTGGCCACCCAGAACAAAAACCAGGAGGTTTAGGCATGCCACTGTTAAAAAGCCTTCTCTGAAACTCAAATCAATAAGACATTCAAAAGAATCATCTTAGTGCTAAGCACACAGCCATAGTGCCCTGCGCATATGGAGAGAAACAGTTACCATGCAGGACACTAACTTAGAGGCTTCTAGGGGGCTAGCACAGCTGAAGTGAGGAGCTTCATGCATACGCTTAAAGGAGAACTATGGGGGTTAAGGCTTTTCCCCATAGTTCTCCTTAGGGTAACGGGAGGACACAAACTAGCGTCCTCCCGTCACCCTAGGCTCAGTATACCGCGAGCTGTAGCTCGCGGTATACTGAGACGCCGCAGTATACCCCTCCAGTCCCTCCAGAGAGCCGTGACGGGATCGAGAGGTGAGCGAACCCGGTATGTGTTCGCTCACCTCCCGATCTACTGAGCTGACCTGTGACAGTCTTATTGTCACAGGTCGGCTAGAACTATGGAGGTGAGTAAAAAGCACTCACCTCATAGTTCCACTTTAAATCATTGTAAACTCAAGAATTGTAAGCCAAGTTAAAGGACTCTGTTTTAAAGGTTGTGATCTACTGAGACATGCTTTCACAAATTAAAGTCGCTGCCAGAAGTGGGTGAAGAGTCCTTCTAGCTAGCTGGAACTGGGGCTTAAAACGGTAGTAAACTGCTGTGAGAAGGGTGTCCCTTCTAGTATGCACATTAGAAGAAAGAATCCATGTGGTGTTTCTAAATAGGAGCAGCAGCCCAAGTCTTTTCCTCCAGATGGATAGAAAAGGTGAAGCACACGCTTGCACAGTGCTCCAGGCTGTCATGCGTAAGCACTGAGGTCTCACAGGCTGATTGCATTACCCAATGAAGAAAGGCAGGAAGGTTGAAAAATGAAGCCCAACATCTAACAGCCATAAGGCAATTCCTGCTGTTTCTGCGTCACAACTCTGATAATTAAACGAGTGAAAAGAACAGGGTCACACTCAAAAGAGAAGCCACTGTTCTAGGCCTGGATAGGAAGCCATAGAGTACTATCTCAGTACTTCAATATCCAGTTGATAAAGTTTACATCGCAAAATGTGTTTACCATAACAGACATTTAGTGAGCATCATGCAGCCCTGGGAGAGACACATTGAGAGAAATCCAAGCTGTGCCTCTGTGAGCGATTACACTTCCCCCTGCGTGTTTTATGCTGCATTCTGCCTGCTGACACAACCCTCCCACGGGATGTCTGCATGTTGATTGAGGGATTTGGTTGGCTTCTTCCACATAATTTTTTCCATCCTATTTGGCTGGCCGATTGGCAGACTAGTCCACGACTAATATATCCCCCTGAGGAAGCCCCATCGGGCGAAACATGTTGGGGTACTTAGAAGAACCAATGCTTCTACCCAATCCATTATAAACATCATATGTGAAGTATGGTAATACTATTTGTATTGTGGTCATCTATCCAAGCAATCCTTTAAACTGAGTTTTTTAACCAAATCTTTTGCTGTATTGATATTGATATTTAATAAAATGATTTTCTACATTTTTATTGAGAGAGCTTAAGTGTTTCATTAAAGCCCCCCCTTTCGGATCCTTGCATACCCGAAAGTGGGTTACTTGTCACTCTTTCCAATCTAGTGAGCATCATTGTTCACAGGTTTGGACACACAGAACTGTATTTGGAAACAGCGCTCTGCCACTAACAGACATAGCACATGGACTGTCCAAAGGAGACATTCAATTTGCATCAGACAATGCAAACTATTAACAGAGACTGGATATACCAAAGAAAGTATCCATATCTGCTGCAAATAATAAGAGTGATCTTATGACTACGGGACTCAGAACACACAGGTGTAGGTCACTATATCTGGAGCACAACACACGAAGGCAGCATTCCAGGATGCTTTTGTTATTGCCAGAGGTCTATATTCAAAGAAAAATATCAGAGGCTGGGTTACACCGAAGGATATCTGTGGCATAGGGAGACACTAGTTTGCACCACTACTCTAAAAATGGGAGAGCATTCTATGACGAACTGACCAGATACCACTTAAAATGAGTCAGAGGGGGTCATGCAAGTACCAGGACAGCTCAAGCAGCTTAATAAAAGTCTTGAAAAAAGTCTTGAAAAAAGAGAAAAAAAACATCCAAACAGTACAGATAATGTTATTAGTAAAGAAAAACTAGTAAATATATAGACAGAGCCTTCCTCAACAGAGCGGGGGAGAAAGCGGCCAACCTCCTAGGACACAAGAAAAAAACATGGTGGCGTTATGGTTAGGGGCAGGGTAAGAGTGGGCTGGCATTCAACATTTTTTGGCAGTGTCCACCTCCTGAATGCAGTAGCATAACCCACATGTCTGATTTACTATATCCCTGTATCCCTTCTTGGATGTTTTTTCACTTCAATTAAGACTTTTGTTAAGCAGCTTGAGCTGGTCTGATGATAAAGAAAGACACTGATGTATTAATGAATACAAAGTTGTACACATGTGCATTTTTATCTGCCTAAAGTTCAACTTTTAGCTTATATTTCTTAAAGGAGAAGTATTGGGAGAGTAAAATATATTCTGCCCAATACTTAGAGCTGGCATTGGACAATGTAGCTGTCACATGGTGGCTCTATACAGAGAACTGAGGAGTGATCACAAACCGCTGATCACTAAGCTAGTGGTTTGCATCCTGCAGAGAGCAGTGACTGTCAGTCACTATCCACTTGCAGGGAGTCCCCCCCTCCCCCCGACCCTCCAAAGTCAATTATGGTTGATTTTCAGGAGCGTTCTGGATGACACTAGGCCAATACACCACTGCTTCTGTCACAGCCAAACCCTTCTACGTGTCCTTTGCAGTGACATGTGTAGTTTCTACCATGGCTGACCGATCTACACGCATACCCTTAAAGTGGAACTTCAGGCAAACAGCTAAATGTACAACTGGAACACATTAGTTTACTGTGTTGCTCAACAAAGGATGCCATTTATTCCAGCATACTTGTGATTTTGTCAGCACTGCTTTACTACTTCCTCAATCAGCTTTCTCATTGGAAAAATCTTAATTCACTCTCCAGTGAACGGGCTGAGGTGGATAAAAGGCAGAGGAAGTTGCATTGCTAAACCAAGAACAATTCTGTCAGCTGCCTAGCTGTGCGCAAGTCGTGTGTAAAATACCATCACTGGCTGAACAGAATTACTGATCCTTTAGCGTAGTAACCTGGAACCATATATGTACTGTATGTAAACTGTGTAATTAGTGTAGCTGTTTCAACTTCCATTCCATTTGACATTTAACACCTGCTCTAGGATTGCATTTTTGTCTGCCACTGACTGCACTGTGTACTTGTGGGATGTTTGATGAAGGTCCAGAGCTGTGCCCGGGAGCTGTGTCCATCAACTCCTCTGATTCTGATCCTACTAAGCGCTCTACAGTAACAGTCCTAGTGCCCAGCTTTACTGCTTGTAATTCAACTCTAACATCACTTTCAAATGTAATTTACAAAATATGTACAGACATATGGTTCCTTTCAGAACTAAGCAGATGTTGTAGGTTACTAACTGCACCTTCAGCTGTGTTCACCACCCTTAAGGAATCTGCATATGAGACAGATTGATCACTGGAGTAAAGACATGTGTATGGAGTGCAAGATAACTGTATGCTGACACAAATAGTGATTATTCAGGATGTTTTGTACATCTATCACAAAGTATTGTTTGTGTATGTGAGCATTGCACAATAAATATTTCTGGAAAAAGTACAAGCATTAAAGACAAAAGCAAAAACTAGCAATACCATCAACATAGACAATTGTTTACTGAATCACTTCATAGAATGAAAAGATAACACTCTTCTCTCAGAGGTATATTGTGTGCTGACCAACCTCTCATGTCCTGTGTTACACACAAAAATGAACTGCCATTTGTCAGCCGGAGTCCAGAGCTACGTCCAGTAGCTAAATCCATCAACTTCTGCAACTCGTGTCCGGGGTTGTGATGGTAGCCATGCTACTAAAATGTCTATTCTCAGATGTTTATATGTCATCATATGTCATAAGATAAATATGAGGAAAACCTTTATTGGTCTCCTTGTATTCTTAAATGCAGGTCATCAATGGCATTCTACCTATTTCAATGATGACATGTGTATCATGTTGGAGAACACTGTACCAAAAGGCCAATGTTAGAGAATAGGGGATGCTGGGTTTTTTTCTTGCATTTGTTGTACATAAATCAAATGATTACTCTACCGCTTCTATTTCTGATGAGCTACTGCAAATATCACTGACATACTCACCAAATATGCCACGAAGCAGAGATATGCAATGCACAAGATGGATGCTCCGACATACAGCCAAACGTTGTCAAGTGATGACACGTATACGACCACAAAGTACATGTTTATGCAACATACAATAAGTATCAAGATGCCACCAGCTATCTTCCAACCCCTGTAATGTTAAAGAATGGACTGTTAAAGAGATGCCTTTATATAAGAATTAACTTAAAGTAACATCAATAGCTTACAATCAAAAATCATTTGTACTATTTAAAAGTCATAGTAGAAAGTGAGAAGTGTGCAAAGAGCCCAAGTTTACAACCATGACCTGGCTGGTGTCCAGGGGTGGCACAAAGAAGAATATCCTTTGCCTGAAAGCGCAAAGTATGCCCTTCTACTTCTAGTTTGGCCATCCTGGGCATGAAAGTGACGAGCAGATCAGGGTAGAGTACTACATGTGACGTAATAAGGTCACATAGGTAACTTACGTGACGCAATAAGGTGCCCACTTTATTGCTAAAAGATAGACTATTCTCAACTTGAGGAATGTAATGAATCAGGTTCAACAAGTTAAAGTGAGCTTGTCACTACACAAAATGTAGCTAGAACTAGCTTGCAAAAGAAATACTTACCTGTGTGGAGGTAGCAACTCCAATCTCCATTACCTCTTTCAGAGCTACTGCGGCCACTGGTATCCATCACTTACGCAAGACCCTGTGGCTCCACCAGTCAGCCACTTTGTCACTACTGTGTCCATTTGTGACGCAGTGGTCGGCGGGCAATTAGCAGTCGAACATTTATACCTTAATAAAATCCATGGAACCATATCAGCTCTACCTCTCTAAAGGATACTGACCCAGTGTGCTGGCAAGAACTGCAGTTCCGCTTTCACTGTTTTGTCAATGGGAGGGAAAGGGCTAACGCTGAACTCCAGGAAGTTTTAAAAGACACAAGTTAATGCAGCTCTGTAATCATTAAAGCCCATCTTGGCAAATCAAAAAACTACTCTTGGCCACCCCTGCACTGCAAGGGTTATGTGCTTGTTTATACCTAGGGGATTGGAGTAAAGCACCTTTACTTACCTGATCCCCATTCCTCCAGCAGTCAGTGCTCCCCTCTTCTCTGTCTTCACTCTGGTTGGTGAAATGTCCCCCGTTGTCCTCACATCTAAAGCATGTCTATGGAACCTGCATTAGACCTGATGATGTCAGCGATCCTAAGATTTATTCTGTCATGCAGCGCTGTACTGAAATGAATTTTATACCCTTTTTTGGGGACAGATAGAGCTTTCTTTTGGTGGTATTAAATCACCATTGGGGTTTTTATGTTTTACTATATAATGATTTCCCTACTTTATGTTATAAAACAATTATTATTACCCCAGTTTTTGGCAAAATATAAAAGACGGGGTCACGTCGGGTAAATAGACACCAAACATGTCAAGTTTTAAAATTGTGCGCGCCCGCAAACTCGCAAAAACTACCATACCCAAAATTGGCCATAGGCGACGCTTTAAAAGCTTTTACCGCTCATCAGTTTAGTGTTATCAGTGATTGATGGGCCTAGAATTATTGCTCTCACTGCGACATTCGTGGCGATATGTAAGATGTGCGGCGTAATGGATGCAATCGTCGTTTCGGCACGTAGGCGCACTCGATGCATGTTTGCGGTATGTGGGGGGCGGGGGACTTTAAAACATTTTTTACATTTTTTTATTACCTTTATATGTGACTTTTCATTTTTTTATATTTTTTTTGTAACTAATTATTTTAAACCTTTTTTTTTTCACTTAACTTTATTGCTCTTTATTGCTTCTTGAACGCCCACCCGCATTCAAGAAGCCGCTGTCCGGTTGTTAAATTACGGCTGGACAGCAGGTGGTTAAATGTATTTTTTATGGTGGCTAAACCAGTCAGCCACTTTGTCACTGCTGAATCCGATAGTACATAGGGGTCAGTGAGTAAAACCACAGCACGCACGCTTGGGGCATGGCATCCGGTACATCGAAAGTGCCACAATACAGCAGTGGTCACAACACTGAAATGGAAAGCTAAGACAGAAGAAGCCAATGGTCGAAAGTAAGAGTTAACTTCTTTTTCCAGAGTGATGCAGGTTTATTTTGATTTTTTTGCTCAGCGACAACGTCACTTTAGGATACCGGAAATATCTAACATAGAAACAAGTAGAATTCAACCAGTCATTTATCAGAAAAAGTCAAATATATAACAAATATGGGCACAGAGATGGGGTCAGGAAACAAGGCAATGAAGGAATGTAAAAGGAAAAAAAAATGCCCCCATAAGTATATAAAATATTGTACTTTTTGTTTAAATACTTACAGCCCATTTGCAAAGTCATTCATTACGGTCCTGAGGCTGGTGAATGTGAGCACTGGGATCAGAGCAAATGGAAGCTGAAACAAGAAGGACCAATCACTGTCACAGTTCTAGATAAAACACCTCAAATACAGTATAGGGTATATGCATTGCCCACCATGTTTATATAATGTTAAGCCCAACCCCAACCAAACTGTTTTTGTTTTGGACAGAGAGGGGAAGGTTTACAACCCGTGTAAGCTTGTGTCTCACATTTTGCACTATGCGTTTCCCCCGATGCACCCCTAAAAGTGGAGAACCACTTTGTTAAAGGTAATTAGATTTAAAATGTACTAGATGAGTAAACAAGTAGACTATAATTAGGGATGCACCGATACCGATACTAGTATCGGTGCCGAGTATTTGGGTGAGTACTCGCCCGATGCCTAGCCTGAGACTTCCGGTATTAGGAAGCCGGCTCCATGCTCCCTGGTCACTTGTGCATGGAGCCGGCTTCCCGGCCAATCATGCAGCCGGGGGCCACTTCATTACACGGCACACGGCTTCCTGATTGACCAGAAAACCGGCTCCATGCTTTCTCGTCACCTATTGATGAAAACCATGGGGACGGCTTCCCTGCTAATCAGGAAGCCAGGTGGCGAGTCATTACACGGCACCTGGCTTCCTTAATGGAACTGGTGTCGGCATCCGGTATCGGCGAGTACCGGAAAAAAAAATATCGGTACTCGATACCAACATACCGGTATTGGTGCATCCCTAACTATAATTGTGGACTTCTCTTATATGGGGACAGCTATTTGTCACCAATCTCCTTTTACCATTTAACAGGAACATTTTTATAAACAGCTAGCTGCCAATAATATAAGCACCACACGCTTAGTGACAAAACTAACATGTATTCTCGAGAGACAGAATATATCAGAGAATATCTGTACTATACAACTGATCCATCAAATCTGCCAGCAAACTAAATCTGAGCACTAGAGACTAAAGCTGGGTATACGCAGTTCTCTTCCATCCAAGTGAACAGCATGGTAGGAGGAATCTCCCGCTGTGTCCTATGAATTTTGACAGTGGCAGTGGGTGCCGCTGTTGGAATAACCAAACAGTGATAGCTGCTGGTTGGCTGCCATCACTGTTCACCTGAAGATTTTCCATCCAGCTCCTTTGATATTTTGATTGAGGGATGCTGAATGGAAGGGTGGCGACAGGGCCACCCACTCTGTGAATACAGCGTATTGCCAGCTTTAGAGACACTGCAGGTTAATGAGAGGAAGCTCAGTCTGTCCCTCTACTTTCACTTTCCTGCATTTTAGAGTAGAATACAAATCTGCACAAAGGCCTTTACCAAACAAATATTTAAAAGGCAAGATATACAGTATATATATTTGAAATGATTTTAGGTATGCTCTGTAAATGGGAACACAAACAGAGGGGTTTTCTCAAATTTGACCACAAAAGTGGAAACACTTTAAAGAGAACTAAAGACAAAGCTTTTTTTTACATTGGTCCTGTTTTGGGTCAAAGGATCGCATTTACTACTGTCCTCCTGTGACTCAAACTCAGCATATAGTGGGCTATTGTCTGCTATATGTGAACAGCGCAGAGCGGCCCTGCAGCCGGGAAAGAGCCCAACAATATTGTCAGGATCCACACTGCTGCTTGAATGACAGCGGGCTCTGCCTCTGTAGAGCCAGAACCAGCTGTGCCCGCTCCCTCGCCTGTCTGTCCCTCCAATGAGCGCTGAAGGAACGGAGAGGGCCGGGGGGAATCCCTGCAATCACCTCTTTCTGCAGGGAGATGACCTTGAGCTGAGTGATCAGCATTCATGATTGCTCAGCTCTTATCAATAGAGTTGGCATGCGACACACGCAGTGTCATAAACCGGCTCGAAGTATTGGGAATAAGAATTTATTTTATTCTCCCAATACGTCTCCTGTAACGTCTACTAATCAAAAACTGACAGAAGCTCTAAATGGAACCTATGGGGCCAGCAATGTCAGAGCTGCTGATGAGGACATTTGTTAAAAGGTACAAGCTCTAGGGCCACCACCCTGGCTCACTACTTCAAGAGTCACTAACTTGGAACAGGTATACAGGGCAGATCTCTTTGCGCACTTCTACAACTGTATGCTTGTTCCAGGTCAGTGACCCATTAAATAATAAAAAAGGATCCCTATCTGAGCCAAATATAAATGATGACACAGTACCATCTACTCATCAGATGTAATGATGTATGTGAAGAAATAACTGTTTCTAACCTCGGTACACTAACATATCATCATAGAGATATAATCTGCCAACCTATAGTATAGTGCCTGCAGAGTACAAGTGGAAACAAAGCAGACAGACAGCTGGATCTATTCATGTCTGTTTACACCAGAACACAATGGAAGAAACAGACAAACTACAATGAACTTATAAAAAAAATAATCTATCACAAACAAGCTAAGGTAAGACCATATAATTATAGCAATTAAGTAACAGTAAATGCCAACATAGCATTACAGTATGAATAGCAGTAGTGTTCTTTTATGCATGAAGTCAGTCCACATATAATCGGAGATGCCCTTGGAAATAATACCTCATTTATGTTGAGTGCAAGCCTGTAAATAGAACTTCTGACCCTCCTGGTCTGCCCTTAAAAGGTGGCGCTAGCATACAAATTTCCAAATCTATATTTATCTATCATTGGAAAGCCAATAAAATACCCATGCATACTGGAAGGAACCCACAGGTATTATATTGTTCAATGCCAAGCTAATATTAAATCATATTTCATACCGGCCATATTGACAATGGCACATTTACCCCATGAGCATGTGATTGCAGTGGGCCATAGCTTGTGCTGATCTGCGCAATCACAAAGAGTACATAGGAATAAATGACAGAATCTGCCAACCTGGCCAATAAACCTTTTTTTTGCAATAAATGTAAACCTACAGCTGTCATTGTTTATGAAGAATCCAGTCAGATCATCAGTCAGTTAGTAGAGGACTTACTGTAAAGAATACACACAGCAAGCTCAGTTTCACATGCTCAACAAAATATTATAAACAGGAAAATATCATTTCTATCAAATTCTCAGCCTTCTCCTAAGCAACAGCAGGACCCTAGCTGAGCTCTATTTTCTTAAGAGACTGAAAGCCAACTGTTTATAACATAACTTCAGGCTACCACTGTTTGACCAAGCCATTGCAAGTGATATTAAACCTTCAGGTTTTTTTTTATTTTTATGAATGGGATGCCCACACTTAAAAATCCTCCATTCTTTTTTGTTTAAAAATGTTCAATTCCTAACCGCCGAGAGTTTGTTTAAACGGGCCCGCTGCCGAAGATGTACTATGTACGTCAGTGAACGCGAAGGAGTTAATAGGATCCATGGAATCTCATCAGCGCTACTAAAGGTACATCTCTAAAGGATTACCTAGTGTGCTGCCGAGCACACAGTTCTGCTTTAACAGTTTTGGCCGTGGCTGTGAAAGGGTTAAAGCTGAACTCCAGGCAAATGTAAAAGACATTTAAAAAAAAAAGACAAATTAATGCAGGTCTGTAAACATTAAAACATCATTAAATAAATTGTTATGCAAGCAGTGCCAGTATCTGAATTTAACCTAGTATCAGCCTCCTGAAGTCAACTTGTACAGTAGAGCTCGGAGAGGGGGGAGGAAAAGCAGCACAAGGAGCAGTGTGCACAGGTGTGCTGCAGTATAAGGAGCACGCTGACAGAAGGCAAGCGCAGAGTAACAGAGAGATGAGCTCCTCAGTGTGCTGTTTCTCTTTTCATTGTCCAGTCACAGGCTGGGGATAGGAAAACTGCAGCACAGAAAGATCAAATGGCTGATCTTTGACAGATAAAACAGCTCATTATATGTATCTCAGCTCTTTGCCTGGGGTTCAGCCTTAAGGCTAACAGACTAAACTAATATGAAAATATATTTATAAAATAGAAAACCATTGAAAACA